TTTGGGGGGGGGGGGGTGTTTATGTTTTAGTTGTTGAAAGGGGAAGACATTTATTCCAAAAGAGATAGGTATCTATTCCACCCCTTCTGAGCAATTCAAACACCATAGTGAGGCTGTGCAGTGCCAAAGCTGCATCTTTAAGGTGCTATGGACAGATGATTCATTCATGTTCTAAAGTGGAGATTAAATTTGAAATATTCTCCAGCCTTATCTTCCCTTCATCTATGGGTTCGTCTTTTACACTGTTTAGAAGATTTTTGAAGCTGGAGTGAAGCCACTATGAGTCCAGTGAAGGAACTACAGATACAGGAAAGTTGAGGTGACTGACTGAAGGACACATTTAGCCACTTGTTTATCGGGTAAATTTTGTCACAGCATTATATCTTTAATTTCAACTTTCAGCTGCAAAACAGGAAAGCAATACGTTTTCATCAGTTGATCAATGTGATGATAAAATAATAAGGATATATTTACTAATTCTGCAGCATTAGAGATATCTCAATGGGATTGACATCTGAATAGTCATATATGGGGGAGGGGAAGTGAGTTGTTATATACTATTAAGAATTGAACCCTAATATCCTTTTTTTTTTTTTACCCTAAGCCAAAATGTTGCTTACCATTACTCTGATAATCACAAATGTGGCTATTAAAGAATGATAGCATATTCTTTAGACACATCTTAAAAGAAAAAATAGGAGCATCAGCAGGAAAGACAAACTGGAAGCCATGATTGAACTACTGAATTTCCTTCCCCTTTTAAGTGTGCTGCATGTGCCTCTAGCCTTGTGAACGGAAATAACACGATCCAAACTTTTACAAAACGCATAAGCGGTATTTCAGTATATTTATCCTACTCATTATTCAACACCTCAGGCACTCTCATCTACATATTTGTTTTTTTTACATATCTGTATCAAAAATTTATAATGTATTTAAAAGCAAGTGGGAATTCAATGGAACCAGAATCCTAGGATTGAATGAAGCTCAGCAAGATCGAGCTTTAATTGGTAGTGTAGCAGGATCTTTGTCCCAGTATACATAACAGCTCATCCTTTTGAAACAACACTGTGTTGTGTGATCAGGCTTCATTCAGCAAATGATTCACATTCCTTTGAGTTGTTGCATTACAGAAATGAGTTGCTGATTGCACTGCTGAACACTTTGCTGTTCATCTCTCAGCCTTTCCTGATCTTGAAGAATTGCTTCCTGTTGGAGAAAAGTCAGAAGGCACAATAGATTAAAATTCTGAACCACAAGACAAGTGCAAAGCATAAAAATAACCATCTCTCTCTTCCAGAGCCTTTTCATAAAGTTTTTTGGTTCCAGAATCTGAGCAGGTGTTACACAATCTTCATGAGCAAATTATTGTTTTGGGTAAGTAAAATACATGTTTTAAAATCTCTAACCACCCTGTCCAGAGGGAAATAAAATCACGTGAAGCTTTTCTTCAGAATTTTTTTTTACTGCATTGTGTTAAGCAATGACTCATTTTAATCATGATTTGTTACATAAACCATCATTCATTTGGTTAAGATGACAATTGGTGATGGGAAACTTCCAAACTCCTTTTGTATGATCCACCTTGGACTATTGTCTTTATTTTGTCTTGGTTGAAAAACAAAATGCATGAAAACTATAATTTGGATGCTCTGAAATATGTATAGCAATTTAAGGACTCTCAAGTTCCTTCCCTCCCTGAAATTATGGGAAAAAACATTCACAGATCTGCTCACATATTTGCCAAAGCTTTCTTGATTTGCATCAGTGTTTCATCTACTGTGACCTTCATCCAGCTCTAATGTAGGCTCTGGATACCAAAAGATTTGCCTCTTCCCTCCATTCAGCCATAAACTCTACTTTACTAACCACAACGGCTTAATTTGTATAATGTGTGAAAGAAAGAAAAAAGCAAGCAACCAAAACACATAATATGAAATAGATCAGGTCATTTCCCCCACCGAAATGGTACCTATTTAATCTATTCGCATAGAACATGCTCTCAAAGTGTTAGGTGGGCAGAAGCTGAGGCAAATGACAGGAGCTCACTCCAATACTCAGCACTAGGACTCGAACCACAGGAGCAGAAATCATCTCCAGCATCATTAAGCCACTAAATCACCAGATCTTTTGGGTTGGACTGAGAGAGAGTGACTGACAAAGTCACTCAGTCATTTTCACACCTAAGGTGGAACTAGAAATACAGTCTTGTGGTTTCTAGCCTGGTGCTTCAACCCCCAGAACAAAGGATTTGTAATAACAAAGAGAAAACTGTAACAGATTTTTCTGTAATGTTAAAGTATGGAATTAGTTTAATATTCACCAGAGTTTTAAGTTGACCAGTATAGTATGCACATATAGAGCATTAGCCTAAAAAATTGCCTTGCTCCATCTACTGTTTCATTTAGCTAGTTGAGGCAGTGGATGGCGTAAGAGATTTTATTTGCTTTGTATATGATTTTTCCAGAAGTGAATGCTCACCATGGGAATTTTTAGAACTAAAAATTGGTAATTAAACTGGATTTACAGAGAAATAAATGCTATTTATTGCTCCAATGAAAATCAGTTGTTGGCTTGAAACATTTCACAGAAAAAAATGTATGTGCACATAAGACATACATATACATATTAAAAACTGGAAGTTATAGAAAATTATGCTCTGAAAACAATTTAATGCTGCTTAATTAGATCTAGAGATATGAGAATCATCATTATATTATTATTATATTATTATTTTTGCATCACTTCTTCACATGGGGACAAAAAATAAGGATCTTGCACTTAGTTGAACTCCATTGTCTGTCTCTTTCAAAGCTGATTTATGTTTGATCAGCTTGACAATAGTTAGTTGAAAAACATAAATCACCAGTTACACGACAAGCGAGTGTGTTTTAACTAAATAATTTTATGAAAAACTGAGATCAGTAACAATAATTTTATGAAAAATTATTGTTACTGATCTCAGTTGCAGTCTTCCAGATTAATTAACTAACTTTACTAACACAGGACTGCACCCCAATACTAGGAAAAAAGATTAATGTAGACATTAATGATTTTCCTGGGTGATAAAATTATGTGGACAATAAAACTACTGGAATGAGAAGAGGAAAAGCAGGAGGAGTGACACAAGATATATTCTGATTATTTGAATCCTTTTGTATGTTAGCTCCATTTTTCTGAGATGCAATTGCTGCTCAGTAGCTATGTGATAAAAAAGTATAACACAATATTTGTTGTTTTTAATAAATAAACATGCAGTCCACACCAAACCAAGGTATTATAACTTTGGAAAAGTAGTGGGTACTAAAAAGATCATGTACTTTGGGGGAGAAGGAAAGCAGGGCAACATTAGGCAAGGCCATGTCAAACATACATGACCCTAGGATTCTTTTTTTTTTTTGGAGTGTTGTTGTTTTAAAGAAGGAAAGCACTAAGGCTTTTCAGAGTTTAACTTCAAAATGGCAGGAAGCGTTGCTGCTGATTTACATGGAATTGAAATATTGTGGTGCAGCTAGAAGTGATTCTGGTGAGAGGAAAATGAGGTTTGAGAATTTTATTAAGGCTTAAGCTGTGGTAGATCATCTTTACTTTAAAATGTAATAATTGTTTGTGATACACTTTTATTGTTATGATGAAAAATTGATATTGTATTTAGGAAAGGCAAAAATGGAAAATAGACTTAGGGTTATACTTGAAATTTGGGACTACTAGATGTATATTAAATTTTAAAATCTTTTCACTTATAAACTAGGGCTGAGATGTACCTTCACAGACTCAACTGACAGCTTTCCATAGGGCATGATATAGTTTTAAGATCTTTTCTCTCTGCTCACTTCATGTCCACCCCTGGAATCAAACTCGAGAAAACTACTTTAAAGCTGTATAATTAAAAAGGAGTGGAATATTTTGCTCCACTCTTCCAGTTTGCATCCAAAATAGATTCCCTAGGCCAACTCAATACACGAATGGAACAAATTGGCAATTTAATATTCCCCTAGTGAATATCCATGTATTTAAATATTTTAGCTGTCCAATAACTGAATGTGTTCTGGCCAGATTGCAACACTGCTTAACAATAGTGAAATCATAAAAATGATATAAACAATATTATTGTTGAATATATTACTCAGAAAATACCAAATCTCTTTCTCTCACCCCACTCTCACCAAAATTTGTGGTTTAGACTAAAACAAAGCTCTTTTTAATGTAGGAGTACACGCTACAACTTCCATAGGAGCAGAGATTTTCTGAGTGTTGTCTTAATAGATCCTTCAAGGATACCATTGCAATTTGGCCAAAATTATTTAATCTAGAAGGCACTAAGAGTCCTGTTCAAAGTCACTGAACAGAAAGAAAAATATTATTTCTGAAAACGCTATTTATCTTAACTTTCCCAAGCTCCAGCAAATGCAGCAACTTTATCAAACTGGTTTTAGTTTTGAAACATGGGTACTATATTTATCTTACAGGGCTGAAATTTTGTTCCAGGGAGTTGTTTTATGTCGAACATCAAAAGCAACTCAAGGGAAAGAGGATAAGGAAATGTTGGGAAACTTGCCAGTCTCTACCCTTCTCTCGAGTTTTGTAAATATTTACTCTCAGTTTGAAGAGTTCCTCTTTTTCCTTGTCATTCTCCTCAGCTCTGGCTTTGAGCCATGCTTCATTTTGGACTTTGTGTTTTTCTAGCATCACTTGTAGTTCCTGAGTTAAAGGGAAAAAAATCTTTATTAGAAAGTCAAGAATATTTACCACAGTCTACCAACTGCATAAATACACTATCTAATTCACATTGGTTTCCAAGCTTTATTAGAAATTATAACAAGTGAAGGCTATCTAAATGAATGCAGCTGTAAGTAGTGCTAAACAAATGCTACCTAGTCGCTTTATCTTCCCTAACTGGCTCCACTAGTTTGTCTCAGTTTTTTACTCTAGTCAAAGATAGGAAGCTCAAGACTTTAAAAAGGATCCAAGAATGATCTATCCAAACAATTGTTAGCTAAGACTGTTAAAAACATTCTTTTATCCCTCCCACATTTGCGCAGCTGATTATTGGAGTGTAGCAAAAGAATGGCAGAAACAAAAAAAAAATTGATATGTCTTGTGAATTCTTTGACACTTAAAGATCAATACTGCCTGGCAGTAGCCATTCACCAGTCCAGACACCAAATTCTATTCCTTGCATGTGCTATAATATGACCTTTTTAAGTTTCTAATTTTCCTTAATTAATATGTATTTTTTGTAATTTTAATGTTATATTGAAATATTTTTAAATATAACTTTTCTCTATCTTTCTAGTACTGTATTTTCCTTCTCAGTTCTTTGGGGGTTGCTCTCTTTCAACCTTTAAAGTCTTCCTTCTTGTTCTTCCTCATGACCAGACATGCTTGAACTTAAAGAATTAGGAATTCAGTGACTGATAATGAGTTAAAGGCAATAGGAAGAGGTATCCACAGACTCAAATTTCCCTTTCCTTCCAGGAGAGATCATGACAATCAATACCTCTTTTCTTACTACACCAGCTTTCAGCATACCTATGACAAATTTGGTTGAGTAATCATCATTCTTCCCTTTTGCCCCACAGGAATGTAACCTTCTTTCTATTTTATTCTCCCTTCCCAAGAGAGGTGGTATCTGTACAGAAGTGTAACTTATAGTGTGTAGGTTTTTATGAATGCTGCATGTTATAAACGTCTTGTTCTCTGCTATAACAAGATGCCTTAAACTTTTTTCCCACCCTTTGCTAGGGCAAGATGTTTTTGCATCTTTTTCCTTTTATTTACTTGATAATAATAACTGAATATTCTGCAGACTCCACAAAAGTGATCCATACTTTTCTATGAGTTCACTGCTGGTCTTATCTCTCACTGAAGTCAATGTATCAAATTCCCCATGGATTATTAATTGCCTTGGAGTTCTGTATGACTGTTAATTTTAACTATTAAATGTCAAGTGTTTCTTTGTTTGCCTTGAATGCTACCAACTTCAAAAATATTTAATCGATTGCATTACTTATTAAGTATAATTTTATTTTGGGTCTCCCAGAAGGTATTAGCTTGTTGAAGGTCTTGACAGAATTGGTAATGAAGGTAGGCCCAATTTGCAACACTAGTATTAACAGAAATAACCAAAACCCTACCTTCTGCTGGTTTTTCAGATTTTTGTCATACCGTTCTTTTTCATGCTGAAAAGCTTTGGTTGCCTGAGCCAGTTCAGCTTTTATCCTGAAATGATACATCCACGAAAATAAGAATTACATTTTATTTTAAAAAGCAAGCAAGCAAACACAAATAAATATATGTATAGAACAAATATATAGGAATACTATATACATCCATTCATACATACACTGTAATTGAAAGAAGTACCATAAACATGTATTATATTTCTATAGTTTTATGTTGATTAAACTCAATACATATACCTCATATTTTAATGTTATTTTATTTGGGAGAAAAAAAATCTTCCCCAGCAAGAACGCCAGAATACTGCCTGTAGATAACTAAGAACAGGAATTGATCAGGAATATTGTTTTTATTTATGTTTTTCACCTGTCTAATTAAAATAGAAAATAACTTCACAATATGGTCTCAATTGGGAAATATATCATGGAGAAGATGATGACAAATTTCTTCTATACTATTGTCAGGTAAAGAACATGGATCTGTCTTATAGGATACCAGAAGTTGAGAATGATTAAAAGGCAATTTTACCTTGGTCAGTGTTGCCTATTTCCAATTGGATTTGGGAGAGGGGGTGGAAATCAAGAAGGTAACCAATCCCATACAATTGAAGGCCTGTTCCTTGTTACGTGAGCACTCAATTTTTGCCACACACATAAAAAGGGAAGGGCATTTGACTGTGCAGCTAACAGAATAACAAAATAACAGAGTTGGAAGGGAACTTGGAGGTCTTCTAGTCCAATCCCTTGCTCAAGACAGGAGACCCTATACCCTTATCCAATATCTTCTTAAAAGCCAAGATACTTCTTTTGAATTTGGACACTGCCTCTACCCCAATGAGTTACATTTTTTTATTGGAAATAAATAATTATATTGTATATATGGGACTTCAGTCCAAGAAAGCCTCTTCCTCTCGTGGAGAAATTTCCTCTGTTCAGCTAGGGAAGCTGATGGTTTTTCTTTTTTGTTTTGTTTCTCTTTTGTTTGTTTCTAATCCTCCATTAAAAAAATTATGGTGATAACAATCATCACCATGTTATGCTTCATATTTTATTCTGACTTTGACTAAAAGTTAATTAAGGTGAAGATGAAACAATTACATTTGCAGGCACTGTACTATATTCTGAAACAATAACAACTAAGCTTATGATTTTTTTTGCACGGTAAACCTAACTTTATGATTTTTGAGAAAATGATTTTACTCTAAGTAAACTGTAGAATAAAAAAATACTTACATGTTAAGTTTTTGAAATTCAGAGTCCAATAATCCAAAAGCCTTTGTAATCATGTTTATTGCTTGGTTACATATAGAATGGAAATCCTGGAGCTCTTCTATCTATATGGGAAAGTATTAATTAACAGTGCTTCAACTTCCATCAAAGACAAAATGTTGGTAATAATTAATATATCCATGCCTGATAGTATTTTTTTAAAAATTGTCAATCTTTTTTCATAGCATTTTTTACTATTTGGCCTAATGACAGCATTGAAGATAGCATGATGATGATGATAACTGTTATAATTTAGTTCTGAAGATGAGTGTTTCATCGTCTTGCGCTGTGATTAACTCCAGACACGATAATTTAGCAATTGTACTGAGATAGTGAGTGCATCTTACTTTTGTATCTGATTCTCAAACAGTATGATACAGCTTGGAGTAGGAGTTGAGGAAATACTTGACATTTATTCAGTTAATCAAATTAATAATAGTCGTAATGAAATGTAATTACTCTATTCTGTTACAACATAATGCCTGCTATTTAGCAGCCATTTCTCAACATTCAGTGCTAATTAATTCATTTGCCAAGGAGTATATCATGAAGACAAATATTTAATTGCTAGTTTAATAGCTAACTACAGAGTAATTAATCTGTTAAGTAAAGATGATACCAAGTTAATCTGGGAAATCTTTATAAGCAAATGATTTAAAGAACATTTAAATGGGTCCCTCCTGCAAACATTTTATTCTGAAATGACTTGCAATATTTTCAGGAAGCTTCTGTGGGAGACCATGCATGTAGGTCAAATGCTAGATAAGCAGAAAGAAATAGATAAAATAGACCTTGCACAAGCAGTTCAAGTGCAGCTGCATTCAAAAGAATTCACAATATGTAACAATTATTTAACATTATATTTGTTTATTTAACCTTCACAAAGACCATTATCTCTGTTTGGGTACATAAGCAACATTCATCCTACCACATCAGTGCTTGGATGCATTTTATAGGATGCACATAAGAAAAATCAGCACAGTCTAATGAAAATTCCTTTATACAACCCTTGGGTTTGTTTATCTTTTTTTTAAAGAAAAAATCTGCACATTCCTTTTCATGTAAACTAATGACTAATTATTTAGAATAAAGTAATGTTTTTGAACGAAACTAGCATTTAGAGGCCATATCAACTGTAGTGATATGGGTGGGGCAGAGCAGAGCAAAGTTATAGAAAGGGAAAAAGAGTGGCACAGGAGCTACCATTTCTAATGATAGGTTTCTTGGAAATTTAAATATTGCTCTGTAAGCAAAGGTAGTGAATGTAATATTCACTGTGTTTAAATGGTGACCAGAAGATGTATAATACACCAACAGGTACTGTACAAATGTAGATGTCCACGGAGATCTTGGGCAGATAACCTTTATTTTTCAGCCTAGGAAGGTTCCAAAAACCCCTTGCCCTCAACAAAATGAGAAAATAAGCAACCTTTTTGCTGCTTGAATTGATTGAGAGTTATGGAAAATATAAGGGTTACAGCTGGAAGTGTCTCTTTTCCTAGAGAAAAGAGACAAAAATGCTTTTAGGCAGAAAATTAATCATTTTCCTCCAACTTGAGGGCAGATTTAAGATTGCCATATGTCAGAGGTTTCCAAATGTGGCAATTTAAGACTTGTGGACTTCAACTGCCAAAATTCCTCAGCCAGCATTGGTGGCTAAGGAATTACAGGAGTTCACAGATCTTAAAGTTGAGTCCACAGATCTTAAAGTTGGCAATTTTGGAGACTCCTGACATATGTCTATGCTACGTCTTCTCTCTTCTCTTCTCTCTTCTGTCTCATCAGGAACTGTATAGCTACTTATTTGGTATTACATTAGAAGAAGAACAAGTGAAGGAGACGATGATAGCACGGGCAAAAATACAATAGAATTAGAAAAATGGCAGCAACTATGGGATAGAAACTATAAATTAACAATGTCAACTGCATATAAAGAAAACTTGTACAAGATGTTTTATAGATGGCATTTTGCACTGGCAAGATTGGCAAGGAGATTTAAAGACAAATCAGCTAAATGTTAGAAATGCCACCAAACACCTGGGTTATATTACCACATGTGGTGGGCATGTGTAGAAGCCAAAAAATATTGGACAAAAATATATACATGGTTGGAGAAGATGATACAATAGCACATTGATTTGAAACCCAAAATATTTTTTCTGGGGATTTTATCAGAAACTTATAGTAAAGAAAATGTATATCTGATTATTCATGTATTAACTGCAGCTAGAATTATATTTGCACAAAACTGAAAAAGTGAAGAGATTCCTATGGATGAGAATGTGATTAGGAAAATATTAGAATGTGCAGAAATGAAAAGGTTAACACTTGCAATTAAAGAGAAGGAACAAACTGAATATTATATTATATGGGTACTATTCTACCAATGGCTAGAGAAAAAATATGAAAGTTAGAAATAAAAGTAGATTAGTGAAATATAGAAAATATATCAATAGAATTAAATAGGTTAAGATGAGGTTTTTGTTTTTGTTATTGTTACAGTATTGCTACAGTATTAGATAAGTTATTTTATATCAGTATTAAGAGTAGACAAATAATGAATACGGCTGTAAATTTTAATTGTTATTGCACAAGACATTTGCACCCAGATGACACATTGTTTAATGGAAGATGGATTGTTTGTATTAAAATAAAAATATTTTTAAAAAGAAATATATTGGAACTAATAACTTGCCTTTTCCCTAGTGATTCATGTTAGAATTGTTACTAACCTCAATTGTTACTAACCTGAGCTACTAGCACTTGTAACCACAAGTGCCCATCTTTTCCAAGTTTTAAGAGCAGTCAGGAAAAAAAAAAGAATTAAAGTGGGAAAAGACTAATTTGGGTCTGGATCATATGACTCATGAGTGAGGAAGACTGCAATTATCTTCTTCTTCTTCTTCTTCTTCTTCTTCTTCTTCTTCTTCTTCTTCTTCTTCTTCTTCTTCTTCTTCTTCTTCTTCTCCTCCTCCTCCTCCTCCTCCTCCTCCTCCTCCTCCTCCTCCTCCT